AAAAAAAAAAAAAAAAAAAAGAAGTTAAGAACACTCTAGCCTCTAGGAGCAATCTATTCATATAATATATTAGTCTTTTCATCGGATATCACAGGCACATTCCAAGTAAATTCCAGGTACATTCATTTTTTATCCGAACGACTCTCTCACTAACAGAAAACAAGGAATTAGATGGCAGAATAAAAAACCGAACACGAATTAACCAACAAACATTCATGAGTGAAGGAAAATCAAACCAATACGAACAGATCAACAATGGCGGCCGTCAATGCAATTGAGAAATCGAAGTTACCTTAAGACAATTGATAAAGAACAACAACGGGATTGAAAGCGAACAAATGCTTCTAATCGACGGTGACTTCCAGCTCCTAATTGACGGCGAACTGCTCTTAATTGACGGTGGTCGGCTGCTTCGAAATGATGGAGAACGGCGAGGGATTTTCAGTAGGCAGTAAATTGCTGCTCCTAATTGGCGATGATCTGTTGGTTCTAATTGATGGAGAACGGCGACTGATTTTCAGGCGAGAGATGAGAGATTTTCAACTGGCATCGAATTTGAGATTGGGGAAATTTTTCTCCATTTCAAAGTAGGGCTCAACGTATGTGCGAGTGTTATTTCTTCCAAAGCCTCGTGTGATTTTTAGACTTCCGTATATTTGGAACCTTTGAAATGTTATGTTTTTTCAATTGAATTTTCCAACAGTTTTAATATTTGTTGGAATCATCAATGGAATTTCCAATGGAAATTTTTTCTGTTGGAATTTTCCGTTGGAATTAAGCCTTCTTCTTGTAGTGCATTACTATAAATTCAAATTTCAATAAATTTGTAATCAGTTCCTATAAATTCATAAATGAAAAGTTCTCTCTATAACGTATAAATTAGACACTATCTTAAAGTTCTCATCCGATCTACGCTTCTTAGTTGAATCTCTTTTGAAATTTAAATCATCGAAGATAAACACACACATAGGTGTACATATTGAAATTTAAATAATTTTGTGTTATGAAGATAAATATATCTTGATCAAATTTAAACCAATCACGAATTCAAAGTTACATAGATGGAGATATTTTGGAGATATTTGTGTTATGAAGATAAAATAATACCACGTATTTAAAATAATTTTTGACGATGTTAAATCATGTTTTATAAAAAAAATCATGTGTTTGGAGATACTTAAATTTAAATCATGTTTGATGTTTAAAAATTCCAACAATTTAGAAAATTTTATAAAAAAAAATGTGAAAGTTTTGGTGGATTTTGTGTGATAATCATTATCGATTCATGTTTTTTTGGAATTAATATTATTGAGGATTTTATCTTTAAATTAGTTTACACTGCATGTTTTGAAACAAATGTTAAGGGATTTTATCCATAGTCTTAAATGACATTGAAAAAATTGAAATTCAAATTATTTTCAAAATTTTCATAATTAGTAAGAAATATTTCTTGTACGAGAAATCCATACTATTTATGGTAAATATAAATATTTTTATACATATAGAGGAGATATAGAATTTTACTAAAATATACCATTTAGTAACAATTTCATGGATTGAGAAAAGGTGGAGTTAACTTAGCCATACGCCCACCCCTTTGCTTAATGTATTGACTATTTTGCATGTTTCCTACACTTTTTGAAAAATTTTGCAAAAATATAACAATTCAAATTAAGCCATATATACCATTCCTAATCTAGTTATAAACCAAAAAATAATGTAAGTTACAAGTTAATGATAAACGTAAAAAAAAAAATAACTACAAACTTCATAAATATAAAAGTAAAATAAGATTTAAAGGTAAATGGTATAATTTTCTCTAATATATTTAGAAAATATGTTGGTCAAGGAAATGAGTTGTGTTCGGAATGTTTGTTGGATCAATATAATATAGTATGCGCGTTTAAATTTAAGGCCCAATTAAGGAAACGGAATAATAAGTATTGGGTTTGGATCAGTGACGGCCGGATATCAAAGTGGAAAACTGTATGGGCTTTGATCGATTTGTTGCGCCGAGGAATCGTTGGAAGTTGCAGAATCTACTTTGACTATTATTTTTTGATTGCTCATCTATTTTTTTTATTGTTATTTTACATATATTGTTATTTTACATTTATAAAGTTTTATAGTGTAATTATAAATATAATATTTTTCACTGTTTACGAACTATTAATTTCTGGTTTTTTTTTATTGATTTTTAAATTAAATGTTTTTTGTGTTTGAACAACTAAAATTTTTAGTTTGAACAGCTATGAATGCTGACTAAATTACTTGTTGATTGCAACTTTGAACAGTTCACGAGTTGGTTTGGGCGAGGATTTAGAACAACTATTATGCTGGCTAAATTACTCGATGATTCCAACTTTGAACACCTCGCAAGCTGGGTTAGCGAGGATCTAATTTAAAATTTTAGTTCGAACAGTTGTGTATGGTGGCTAAATTACTCGTTGGTTTCAACTTTGAACAGCTCGCAAGCTGGGTTGGGCGAGGATCAAATTTAAAATTTTAGTTTGAACAACCATGTATGTTGGCTAAATTACTCGTTGCTTCAAACTTTAAATAGCAATGTTATCAATACCGGACCGGTCATCGAACCGGTTAAGCTACTAGTTCAATGGTTCACTGGTCGGACCAGTGGTCGAACCGGTCGAACCGGTTTAACTAATATACAATTTATTTATTTATTTTATATGTATAATATATAATTATATATATATATATATTTTATCATTAATTTTATAGCATATAATGATATTTTTCTAAATAATAAATCAATATTTTAAGTATAGTTTACCATAAGCAATACTAAATTAAGTTAACTAAAACAGTAAATTAATAATTCAATATCTAAAGCAAGGTAATCCAAATTACAAATATAAACTACAAAGTCATCAAACATCAAAATATATCCAATCCAACATTACAATTCATCAAACATCAAAATACTCTCTCACTCTTTTCCTTTTGTTTGATTTTTTTTTTTTATTTCATTAAGATTTTTTTTTTTTTCAAATTTCAGAACCGGTTGTTCACCGGTTTTACCGGTGTTGAACCGGTTCGAACGGTTCGAAACCGGTTCTTGTTCCCAGCGGTTTAAACACTCAAACCGGACCGGTACTAGGTCCGGTTCCCGGTCGAACCGGTCGAACCGGCCGGTCCGGTCCGGTCCGGTTTTGATAACATTGTTAAATAGCTCGCAAGGTGGGTTGGACGAGGACCTAATTTAAAATTTTTAGTTTGAACAACTATGTATGCTGGCTAAATTACTCGCTGATTCCAACTTTGAACAGCTCGCAAGTTGGGTTAGGCAAGGACCTAATTTAAAATTTTAGTTTGAACAACTATGTATGCTAGCTAAATTACTCGTTGATTCCAACTTTGAAGTTTGAACAACTCGCAAGCTGAATTGGGCGAAGACCTAATTTAACAATTTAGTTTGAACAACTATACGTGCTGGCTAAATTATTCGATGATTCCAACTTTGAAAAACTCGCAAGCTAGGTTGGGCGATGACCTAATTTACAAATTTTAGTTTGAACAACTACGTATGCTGGCTAAATTACTTGCTTATTCTAACTTTAAACAACTCGCAAACTGGTTTGGGCGAGGACTTAATTTAAAATTTTGAATGACTCCCGCAGATGGCGCCAAATGGTAGTGCAAACGACCTCGACCGGGTTCATCGACCTTGGATCCGCTCTCGACTAGCAGAAAAACATGCAAAACAGCGTCGAAAATTGTCCCAGCGTAGAAGCTCTGACGCTCAAATTAGTGAGCAGTGATGAAGAAGACGATGAACAATATGAACTATATATAGTTGTATATATATTAGAGTGTACAGAGTGTATATGATCATACAATAATGCTAAGGAGCCAACTGTTGGCTCCTTAGCATTATTGTATGATCATATACCTCTTTCCTTTATATAGAAATGTTACTTTGCTGTCCAAGACTGCTCGACTGGACTGCCCGAGTGCCTGAACTACCCGTTCGTACTGACGGGTGCCCCAACTGCCAATTCTATTATGTAGTGTGTGTGTGTGTGTGCAAATTTGACTACCTTATTAGGTAGTCTATTTGTGCTACCAGCTCATATTTCCTTGAACTAAGTTGCTCCAACTTTCAGTGGATATGTCTATCTCTTAGGTCGTACATTGACCTGCATATCTACAAGTCTAGTTTTCATCATGCTAACTGAGAGCCCTAACTTGATTTGTTTGAAGTGCTCTTACCTGCGATGTTACCATCAACCTAGTGATTCCTCGACCTCCGATGTCCTTGATGTCTGACCGACCTACCGGTTGACCTAATCTGATCTTACCGCTCTTTAGGTCATACACGACATAGTATTGTATCATATATCAATATACAAGCTCAAAATTTCACTCAATAATCAACTCAATCAATTTTATTTAAAATTAATCCATTTTAACAAATAAATTTAATAAAAACGATTTTAATTATAGCACATAAATTCAATCAAAATCGATTTTTCATTGATACGCAATCGCAACTCCAATGGGTTTTCGTAAAAACGAACCCGTACAGGTCGCAACCACCGAGTTTAGTTATGATACAGATCCTAATCTGAGCAACCACGACTCACGCCCACACGCAGGAAGTAATATCCACACAGATAGAAGAAACCCACAGACAAAAGGGAAAACAAAAAAGAAATATCTCGTGCATTTTTCTCTACATTCTCAACAAAGCTCCCGATTTTATCCCGTCGATTTGCTCGAAACACAATTGAAACTGGCTGGAGAGATTTTGACCAACCAGCTGCATGGTTAGGAATCAGGAAGAAGAAGAAGAAGAAGAACAACAAGAAGAAATCGAGCTGAGTTTGAATTTCCGGAGAATTTTTGGTGAAGGAGGAGACCAGCGGCCATGGGTGTGCTTGTCATCGCTCATGGTCAGCCTTCCATCGATTCGTTCGAGCCTCGCCGATTTCGATGTCATGCTGAGTCGTCGTCGTCGTCGTCTTGTCTTAGACAGAGACTACACTCTCGACTATGGCTGAATCCTCATTCTGCTCCGTCCAGGTAACACTGCTTCTCCTCTTCTCTTGCCGCCCAACAGGTTAGCTGGTGTTGTCGGCTATGAAAGAGGCCCTTTTTTGTTTGATGAAGTTAGTTGATATAATGATGCACCTTTTAGTTTGTGGGCAAAGTGCATATTCAGTCTCGACTGTTACTGCTTGTAGACAGTTCAACACGTGGATTTGCAGTTGGCCTCATATTGGGACAAATTAAGGGGGTGCTGGGTTGAGAGATACCGTATTACTGTTTTCATCTCTCCATGAGATGGACCGAGCGATATGAAGTTTCCTGAAGTTTTAATCAGCCACCATATTTGTAAAATATGATTCTCAAATTTAGAGGAATTGTACTTCTTGTCATGCAAGTTTGAGCAGAAGAATATAATTACTTGACTACAGTTGCGTTGATAGCAATCACCTACTTAGTTCCTTGAACAATCAAGATTTGCAAATTAGTAATCATGTAAGATGCCTGTCATGAAATTCTAGAAATGCAAGTGGTAACTTAATGTCATCAAGTTGCAACCTTGTAATGAAAAATATTGTTAGAGTTATCTTTGTCTAGCCTCCTTTAGTAGTCAATTTAGTGTACCAACTTTGGACAATAGAGATAGTCATGTGTAGTTATTTGTAGTCGATTTTCATCTTTATTGTTCATTATGTTTATTATTTATTGCAGGCTTCAAAATTTTAGTTTGAGATGTTCATTCACTAATACTGATGCCTGCAATTCTGTCGTAAATGAAGAAGTCCATGAGGATATAGCATCTCTTGATTCACATTGTCCAGTTCCTGTTGTTCATCTCATATCTGATTGCCTGGAGAAAGAAGCATTTAATTTACTTCAAGGCAATTTTGGAGACAATATTTTGACAGTACTACCTGTGAGTTTGTTTCTTCATGTATCTCTTACCATTTGAGCACCCTTTTTATCTTTGAAATTTATGGTGACCTTAGGATCTTGATACTGGTTTCTTCCTTGGGTATAAATAGGTCTTTTCAGAGGTGGATCAGAGTGCCATTGCTTCATCCCCTGCTCATCCAGCTGCACTTTATGGTCAGTTTACTCCTACAGAAAATTAAGACAATAACTCTCAAATAAGACCATTCAATTCTCATGAAACTGGATTTACTTTTGTCTTTCTCCAAGTAATATATATATTCTCTAAAATATTTTGTAATTCCTGTATGAATTTATTTTTTATAGTTGAACTTGAGGTTTAATGTTTTCTGGATAACTCTTCCAATTGTTGGACCTTCAGACTGGATTACATTACTTATTTCGTGTTAATTTGATCTGTGGAGACAGTAAGACAATGTAGAACATGTCAAGTAGCTAAGGGCAGTCGGTTGATCAAGTAATCTCATTTTTTTTTTCAAATTAAGATGCCTCCATATTTCTGTCATTGTGGATTGTTTTTATCACCGCAGAAACAGGCCTGTGATGGATACCATTAGAATCTTATTTAGGCTTTCTATGGTAAACACAATGTGTTATCGATCATAATACATTTATCACCAAAATCTTTGAAATTTGAGTTATCTTCTAACTGGCTTCATTCTTGAAGTAGTTTCATCATGTATAATGTATTATTCATTTATTTTTGTTAGCTTAGCCTCTAATGAAAGTTACATGAACAAATAGCGTTGTATGCTAGCTGTTTGGCTGGGAATCTGGTTGAACAGCTTTGGAGTTTCGCCTGGCCTGCTGCCATTGCATTGATCCACCCAAGTCTTCTTCCTGTGGCCGTCATGGGATTTTTTGTGAAGGTATCTGCCGGTATAAACTGAGTACAAGGCGTTCAGAATATGAAGCAAGTATCCTTAATTATTGAACCATCTCCATCTTAACAGCTTGCTGTAATTGTTGGAGGCCCTTTGTTAGGAGATCTTATGGACCATTTTCCGAGAGTACCAGCATTTAATTGTTTGACTGTTATTCAGGTATTTTCCTTTCACATGCAATAGCACTCGGTGCAAAGTTCTTGTTCGGATGTTATATTCTCATGCTTCGTTTGTTCCAGGTAGCTGCTCAGTTGTTATCTGTTGGGATGATTATTCATGCCCATAATGTTCAGCCTGGATCCCTGTCTTCTGTTCTTGCCCAACCTTGGTTTGTTGTACTTGTGATAGCTCTGGCTGTTGAAAAGCTTGCTGGCATGGCTCTGGGAGTTGCAATGGAGCGTGATTGGGTTGTTCTGGTACTGCTTTATTCCTTTTCCTCTTTCATTTCCTTGTCTGAATATCATGTGGACACTGCTCATGTTTCATTTCAGTTGGCAGGAATCGATAGACCAATTGCTCTTGCCCAATCTAATGCGGTACTTAGTCAAATTGATCTACTCTGTGAGGTGATGTTGTGTGTGACTTTTCACTTTTATTCTTGATCATACAGCTATATACGTTAAAGCAGATTGTGATACCTATTTTTGTCTTGAGTCATGCTGTCGTTGGTTAATGCAGATTGCAGGAGCATCATTATTTGGAATTTTCTTGTCCAAATATGAACCAGTGACTTGCTTAAAGATGACTTCTAGTTTGATGGTGTTGTCACTGCCTGTTGTGGTAGTATCTAGCCTTGCTGTTTTTGGGGTACTCCATTTTGAAATATGCTAGTCTTTTTATATTCTTGTTGTGTGATCCAGGTAATTCTTACATGGTTAACAAATAAGCTTTCTGGTGGAGTACTGGAACGTGCCAAATGTCCACAAACTGGTTGTGGATGTTCATCTGCAGGATCAATTCCAGATACTAGAAATATATGTAAAAAGACTGAACTTATATTCGATGGGTTTTTTTGTGTAACATGTCTAACTGTACACACTTATACCATTTCTGTTTGTGCATAGTTGCCACGAGTATAGAAGCTATTAAGCATGGATGGTTCGAATACATTAAGCAGCCTGTTCTACCAGCAAGCCTTGCTTATGTGCTTCTCTATTTCAATGTGGTTCTTGCACCTGGCGGCTTAATGACTGCGTTTTTGACACATAGTGGTATTTTCTCGACATTTTTACTTGTGTGACTAATTTCAGCAAAAATGTTAGTACATATTAAAGCGACACGCCTTGAAAATGAATATGAAAAATCAAATAAAAATAGGGGCACTGATTTTAGGGTATCTGTTGGCAATGCTGTAACTTAAATTTATAACCTGTAATCAGTACTTATATTGTTAGGAGGAAGAATATTCGGAAATTCAGTAAAATGAGATATGTAAGTGAAGCATCTTTCTTATTTGTTTGTCACAGTAAATTAAATTAAGTCTTTTATTTTTCTCCTCTTCGGTAAGAAATGATCTTAAGTTTCAGTTTTGAGGAAAAACTAGAGGCTGCTGGTTCCCAAAAAATGGATCAGATAGTGCGACTTAAAAGGCTGTTGGGAGTTCTCCTATAATTGATCTAAGGCAGTGAATAGTTCAATGATATTTACTTCAATAAGAAACTTAATGCGGCCATGCGGGCCAAGCTACACAGACATGCTCTGACTTCTCCTGATTTCTCTGTATTGATTTCTTTCCTCATATGTGGATTGCGGTTTTCGAGATAAGTTTTGTTTACCTTTGTAATGGTAAATCCAATTCGTTCTACTAAAGTTTATGAGATTGATTCAGGTTTAAATCCTTCAATTATTGGGGCCTTCAGTGGATTATGTGCTTTTATGGGTGTTGCGGCAACAATTGTTTCCGCAAAAATGGTCGGGCGACTTGGCATTCTTAAGGTTTCTATCTCATTCGATATTAGCTTCCTTTATTAAACGGAATGTTCCATTATAGTTGTTAACCAATTCCCTAATGTTATTGAATACCTTGTGCCAGGCTGGAGCAGTTGGCCTGATCTTTCAGGCTGCGGTTTTAACTATGGCAGTTACTGTGTATTGGATTGGTTCTTTCTCGAAGAAGATTCCACTTGTGCTCTTCTTGTCTTTGATTGTGAGTTTTGAGTATCATTTCCTCATTTTATGATCTCTATACAAGTTTCGTCTCTGGTTAAAGAAAATTATTTAATTCATGAAATTGGAAACTCATTTTAGAATGAACTGGTTCGCAAAACTGTCTTTGATTGTCCCTGTTGCCTCTTCTTTGTCCAACAATTTTCTATCTAAATATATTTCTCGTCCACAGGTCTTGTCTAGATTGGGACACATGTCATATGATGTTATAGGGGCACAGATTCTACAAACAGGGATCCCTGCATCTAAAGCAAACCTTATAGGGACCACAGAGGTTTCAATTGCTAGTTTGGCCGAGTCAGTAATGCTTGGGGTCGCCATAATCGGAAATGATATTTCACATTTTGGCTTTCTGGCCACACTTTCACTTGTGTCGGTAGTTGGAGCAGCTTGCTTGTACTGTTGGTGGCTGAAAAACCCAACTGACACCCAGAGGAATCTTTTTTCTTTTGAGCCTCAACATTAAGGATGTAAGTAAAAGCACTTATGTTGTGTTCTAAGTTAGTTTGAGCGTAATTTCGTTGTGCACTAGAAAAAAATCTTTTGGCTGAGGTTCTTATTGATGGTTGTTGGCGGGAAAGGAACATGAGGATCTGGTGTTTTATGCTCCCGAAATTCAATTAACCCTCTGTAGGGTGTCACTGCATCTGTAGGTTGTCCTCTTATCTTCTTGAGTTAGTTGGATAATGCAGTTGGCTGTTCAATAAAATTGGGAACAAAAGCATGGTTAAGAAAATGATTTTGGTAAAGATAATTCTTCTAGTTCATTTTAGTTGTCTTTGAGTAAGGAGAATATGCATAAATGTAGGTATTATAAGATAAATTCGTGTGGGGGTTATGTAGTAAGTAGTTCATTGTAAACAGAGGCGTTGGATACAACATTCTTGGGTGGGTGGCAGATGTGGCACTCGGATGTGCTTTCCTGAAAGGAAATTGGTCGTAATAACAAACCTAGCATGCCCGTTGGCATTTTAATTTCTGTAGGAAATTTCTATATTTATTTTTATTTAGTGAAGTACTTTTTCATTGATTAAATTTTATATTCTTCTGGGTGAAGCCATTACTTTCTTTGTGTAGATTAACACATTTCCCTATTCCTGAATATTATTTGATAATTACTTGTTATGCTCTTGTCTCCAGGCCTCCAGCTGCAAAAGGCAAAAGAAACAAACTAGTTGAAATGGGGCTTTGTAGTTTTTGGACTGTGGTCTTGGCTTTGCCTAGAGGTCCAGGTATACAAAATCCAGCCACTTCTGTTCAGCAATAATATGGCATCAGATAATAGCCGAAACTCATGGTGTGGCTACATATTTCCTTAGGAGCATGCGCCTAAACAATTATAAATTTGCGTATGGCCCTCGTAAGGAACTGGATGAGAATAGTTTTTCCTCAGGCAGGCAGGCTGTATATAAATTCACACACTTAGATAACAACTGATCGTGAGAAATTTTCAGGTTATACCCAGATGACATTCATGTAGTTCAGTTTGTCCTAAAATATTCTTTTGTATTTGGCAGTCACGGTTATGGGCTACCAACTGCTAGAATGCATTTCCATTAAATTTGCTTCTCATACCTCACCTAAGAAGTTATGGTGCATTTATATTTTTGTGTAACTAAAGAATTATTCGTTTAGTGGTAGATGGGCCATGAAGTTCATTTGCATCTCTATTATACATCTGATATTTATTTGTTTATTAGGCTACATTTAGGATGTTTTGGGCTGAAATTTAATTTTAATATCTGTTAGAACTCTTCTTTACACATGAAAGGGACCCGTCCACGGGACAGAATAATAAAATATCCTCCCCTCCTCATTGTGCAATCCCTTTATTATTATTTCTCTTATTTCGACCTGTATCAGAAATGAAAACTGGCGAATAAATGCTATCTATATTAGAAATGCTCGTGCCAATAATCATGTGGAGAAAAATAATACATTGTGAATAAGCAAGATAAAAAGATGGCTCAATTTTTTTTTTTTTTTTTTTTTTTTTTTTTTTTTTGAATTTAAATATTTTTATGGTGCAGTATTAAAGATTTTACTTGGGGACCATTTTGTTTGCTGTCACAAAACAGGACATGTAATCATCCTTTTCTTTCCCCTTGATATAACTGCTGCTTTGATAATATTTAGCTGTAAGATTTGAAAGGTGCATATGCTTCATTAAAGTTTCATCTGCACAATTTGCATGGGGGACCTCTTATGCATGATTCACTATAATATTTATTAGGGTTAGGCACGGACCGTGAACCGGTACCGAACCGGCCCGGACCGGCCCGTAACCGGCCATATTCGGGCCGGTCCGTTGGACCGAACCGTAAGGGTCGCGGTTTAAATTTTTTTTTTTTTTTTTAATTTTTGGCCCACCGGGTCGATGAACCGGCGGGTTCGGGCTCAGAACCGGTCCCGGACCGCCCCTTTGTCCGGTTCGGTTCCGGGCCTCGGCCAGGCAGACCGTCGACCTGGCGGGCCGGGCCGGGCCGGGCCCGGACCCGTTGAATGGCCACCTCTACAAGCAAATAAATTTGTTGTCAAAACTGAAACTTTTTGCTGCAATGATTAATGGTGATATTTGTGTTCTATATTCATGTTATCAACTGCTTACAACAATTTCAATTCTTGTTGATTTTACTGTCTTAGACCTTGAGACAAATGTAGCGCAATTTCTTGCACTACATCAATTAACTGTTATGTAACCCACATGTACATATCCTGTGTGCATTACCTGCTATAAATGAATTTCGTTTTATCTAACGACTGGAGGTGTTGGAAGGAAGCACGTAGATATTTGTTTGAATCTGGAAAAGCAGTTGATAAGTCCCTCATGAATATGATGATTACTGTTTATGATATTCTGTATATGTAAGTAGAAATCTTTTAGCTTTAGAACTCGAAATGGTTACATAATTATACGGTTAATGACGTTATCACTTGTTCCGAAAATGGTTACATAACGGACTGACGATTAAGGAAGTTATCACTTGATTTAAGGAATTTTGGTCATGACTAAAATGATTCATCACGAAGTTTATTTTAGTTATATCAGTTACACGTTTCACAATATTTGTAAGTTCGGATTTGACCATATGAAACAAGAAATGAAGCCCATGTAACAATTACTTATATAATGGCTTGATATTAATGAGAAAAATATAAGTCTCTTTTTATTTGCATAATTACAATTTTTTTTAATTGCAAATATACTAACTTTTAAGTTAAGGTTTGTTATGTTATTGATTTATAAACCATATATATATATATTGGTTTATAACTCATTTTATGAATGATTCATTTTTGGCAACCGTATGTTCCCGTTACGCTGTTGCAATGTTTCCAAGGATTCATAAAACCAAACACGAGTTTAAGTTTATTATTATATCACCAGATTAGATTGAAGCACCAAAACGGAGAGAGTGAGAGTCCCAGTAAGCAATGTGTGTGATAAGAAGAAAGTGTATTACCATTACCAACAACAAACAACATTATTATTTTATGGCCATTTGCCTCAAACCATCACTCTTTCTTTCTGCCTTAACCGATGATTGATGGGATTGATGTCTTTCAGATTTCCTTTCCCCTAACCCCTTTTTACTCCATGGGGTGTAACCAATTTTTATTTTTTATTTTAAGATTACTCTTGGACGTGAAAAAATGTTTTACCGAACTATTTTATTAATTAAAAAGTTGGGTAAATCACTAATTAATTTTTGGTGTTTTAATAGCAAAAATTATCATCTACCAAGTAGAACATCAAACAAATTGAAAAAATTATCTCTCCTGAGCTTTGGGAGTGATTGTTTATGGATTCAACTAGTTTTTATTTAGTTTGTTTTTTAACTATAGTTAATTTTAAAAAAAATGGTATGATTAGTTGTTAGTTGATATATTAAAATAATATTTACATAAAATAATTAAAGTTGATTTGATGTAACGTAGAAAAAAAATGATTAATAGATGATAGTTAAAATTATCTGAGTAGATGAATAGTGAATTAAAGTTGATGTGATGTGTAAGAATGATTGGTTGATATTATTTAATTATATTGATAATATGGAAAATAGTGAGATTGGGTTGAAGTTGAGTTAAATTTGAGTTTTGATTGATTTTTTTACTGTAGAAATTATAAACAATCGCCCCTTAGTATTTTGACAAAGTTTTGTGGGTGTTGAGATAAAGTTAAATGTGAAATTAGTTATTTTCACCCCATTTTGAAGTCCTGCTAAGTTTTTCACACCGCCTAATAAAAAGCTAAGTCTTTCATTCCAAAAAATGCGAAAGACATTGTGCGATGAATATGCGATAGTTGCGCGATGACATTGTGCGAAAGTTAGAAGTGCGAAGGCATTTGCATATCCCTTCGCACTTTCTGGGCTGGAAAAAGTTAAAGTGCAAAGAGTGCGATGAATATGCGATAGTTGCGCGATGACATTGTGCGAAAGTTAGAAGTACGAAGGCATTCGCATATCCCTTTGCACTTTCTGGGGTGGAAAAAGTTAAAGTGCGAAGGCATTGCGCGATGAATATGCGACAGTTATGCACTTGATATGCGATAGTTATACAGTCATTCGCATAACCTTTGCATTTTTCGGGGTGAAAAAGTTAGATTATTAGTGTGCGGTGTGAAAAATTTAATGTATCTTTGTATTGGGGTGAAAAAGATTTTTTCCCAAATTAAATTGGTAAGAAGAAATGTTTTGGGAAATTGTACCATTTACATTAAAGAAACAAATTTCTGAGCATTTAATGGAAATGGTGCCCGCTTCAAGTCCCCAAGAACCCATTAAATATTCAAGAAATAAAAATGGATTTGCACTAACACAGAGCCCCACATTTCCTACAAAAACCTTGAGAAGACACATTTTCTTTCTTTCTTTCTCGATCAACATCACCATAAAACCACCTTGAAAATTGGATTGCTTCTGACATCAATCGCAAAGGATGCAAAATACATTAGCTAAGTAAGTTGTATACGTATATCTATACATACTGCACATTTATACATTGCCTCTCTCTCACACATAATCACACACTAGTAAGAAAGAGACCAAACAACTCCACTATCATTTTCAGTTGGATAGCTGATAAAGAAGTGTGAGGAAACAGATAAACAACATTAATAAACATGGGAAACTGCAAAGAGAACCAATTCTTTTATTTTTTATTTTTCTTTCTCCTTATATACATAACAAATCGATCCCAACCCTTGGTTCTTTCTTTATCTTTATTACACCTTGGATATGAATGTTTTGACATCCCTTTCAATGAGGCACTTTATTAATTGACATAAGGAAATGCCTACGCATTTATTTGTCATTAAAGAGCGTAGTCAAAAGTTGAGAAAGGTAGATCGAATTTAGAAAGAGTTAATTAATTTAGATATTTTGCGAAGAATATACTTTTGTTTTTCCTTGTTAATGACATTATTGAATTAATTTTGATCTGTTGGTGCCACAGTGATTAGGACTTGAAAGCCCATCTTTTCATGTCTATTGACATTGATAGTTGATATGCCACTTGTCTTCTTCATAATTTGACCCTCATTTAATTTTTTTAGTTTTCTTTCTTTTTATTTTTTTTATTTATTTTGTTTGCTTATTATAATAACTCTATTTCCTCTCTTTCCATCCTTGTCAAACTAACTTTGCTACATGAACTAAATTACTAAAGTACAGGTTCATTTTGTTTTACACA